ATTAATTATATATATATATATATATATATATCACATACATATTTTAATCAAGAGGTATAATTTAAATTTCCTTTCCAAATAGAAAACTTCAACTTGTCCACAATATTAATTATATCCTCCGTACTAGCAAAGAATATAATAATTTTTTATTTGGACTAAAAATTAAATTTATTTGATTAATTAAATTCTTTAATTTAATTATCAAATAATAAAATAATTAATCATTTAGTAAAGATCAGAACACTCGTTAGTGTGCGATCCCATAGATTAAATACTAAGCCGGTAGTAAATTGATCATCAATATACTAATCAAGGGTGGTGTCTAGAAACACTCCTTAACGACTGGATAACATGAAGTATACAATTTACTTTCATGAACCCGTAGAAGAATAATGCATTAATTCCTTCTGTTCTTATAGCTCTGAGTCACCCTAGGATATGGTTTAACTGTCAAATCCTAATAGGCGACCAACTATGTGTTCATGTCAAAAAATAATCGATCATTGAATGACCTAAGAAACTCTTTTCTACTTTCATTCAATCGCCCTGACCAAGGTCTTAATTTTGTCGGTTATAATTCATTACAACATGGAGCTTAAACTCATTACCAAGAGTTGACAGATTCCATCTTGATCAATTACTAATTCTACAAGTATTTAATCATACCCAATATCCTTTCAATTATCGCCCTAGGGCCATATGTGTCTAGTATCAAAACACAATAAATAACTTGTCAATTACTATGATGATATTAGGTCAAAGGAAACTCTTACATCACATTCTTCAAGAGAATATCTTATTGACACTTTATGGTAATTCTAACCATTAGGAATTATCCAATGAATCGGTCCAATGATCATATCTCTATATGCATCATCTATTTATGTGATTCAGTTAATGAGATCAACTAATCTTATCCCATAAAGACGATCACATAAATATTGATTTAACCGAATTACTAATGTCCAAATCAATAATCCTACGATCAAGAACAAAATTTAGATTAAGTTGTAAGAGACTTTACTATCATTATTATGATCTCCATCATGATGACAACTCTCAAAATTTAATCAAGGACCTTATTAAATTAATCAAGCAATTAATAATAACTATGATAAACGAATATCAAATGCCATATATTTTTATATCAAATAACATACACAAAAATATGTTCAAATCATCAAATATGAGATTGGATCTAGGGCATATCTAATATATCCCTAACAATCCCCCACTTGCTCTAGAGCTAATCGCTCTTGTACTTCATTCCCAATTCCCACTTGTGCTTGTTAAACTCTTTTGCTCCAAGAACTTTAGTGAATGGGTCTGCATCATTTTTCTTTCCATTAACCTTTTGAATCTCGACGTCTCCACGTTCAATGATCTTTCTTATCAAGTGATACCTTCGCAGAACATGTTTGGATTTTTGGGGTGATCTTGGTTCTTTTGCTTGAGCAATGGCTCAAGTATTGTCACAAAATAATGGAACTGCACCTTCTATTGAAGGAACCATACCAAGTTCAGTTAAGAACTTTTTCATCTATACAACTTCCTTAGCAGCTTTACTAGCTGCTATAAATTCTGCTTTAGTCACTGAATCAGCTACTATAGTTTGTTTGGAACTTTTTCAACTCACTGCTCCACCATTTGAGGTGAATACATAACCAGAAATAGATTTGCTATCATCTCTATCTGAAGAGAAGCTTGCATCGGTATAACCTTCAAGTTTTAACTTAGAATCTCCATAAATGAGGAATTGGTCTTTAGTCCTTCTTAAGTACTTAAGAATGGTCTTTACCACCTTCCAATGTTCCTCACCAGGATTTTCCTGATATCGGCTAGTCACTTCTAGTGCATAAGCCACATCAGGACGTGTACATGTCATGATATACATGATAGCTCCCACTGCACTAGCGTATGGGATCCTACTCACGCGTTCTCTCTCTTCAGGTATTTTAGGACAATCCTCCCTACTGAGAGTAATTCCAGTACCTATCAGTAGATAACCTCTTTTGGAATTATCCATATTATACCTCTTTAAGATGCTATCAATGTACAAGGACCGGGAAAGCCCAAGCAGCTTCCTAGATCTATCTCTATAGATCTTTATTACCAATATATAAGCTGCTTCTCCCAAGTCTTTCATGGAGAACTGTTCAGATAGTCAAATCTTGGTACTTTGCAATGCCGGTATATCATTTTCTATGAGCAATATATCATCAACATACAATATTAAGAATATGATTGTGCTCCCACTAACCCTTTTGTACACACAACGCTCTTCTTCGCATCTAACAAAATTAAACTTTTCAATTGTCTTATTAAAGCAAATATTCCAACTTCGAGAAGCTTACTTTAGTCCATAAATGGATCTATGTAGCTTGTAAATTTTATTATGATCAGGTGGAGATGTGAAACCTTCAGGTTGTGTCATGTACACATCCTCTTCAAGCTCACCATTAAGAAAATCTGTTTTCACATCCATTTGCCATATTTCATAATCGTAGTATGCTGCTATAGCAAGCAAAATCCGAATTGATTTGAGCATTGCCACGGGATAGAAAGTCTCATTATAGTCGACTCCTTCTTTCTGACGATATCCCTTGGCAACAAGACATGCTTTGTAGGTCTCCACCTTTCCGTCTACTCCAATATTTTTCTTAAAAACCCATTTACAACTTATAGGTTTTATATCCTTTGAAGGTTCAACTAAAATCCATACTTTATTTTTCTTCATGGATTCCATGGCCTTTTGCCATCTCTCATAGTCAGAACTTTGTATAGCCTCTTCATAGGTCTTAGGGTCATCATCATTATGATCAATCTCATTTGACACATAATCTTGCACCATTAGATTTAATCTAGTTGGTACATGACGTTCTCGTGTAGACCTTCTAAGAGGTACTTGTGCAACTTGCTCACCTTGTGTTGGATTTGGTTGTTCTTCAATTTGGTTTGGAACTGGTTTATTAACCTGTTCTTGAACTACATTTAGTTGTTGAACTTCAACCGTTGAAGATGGCAACTTCCTTGTCAACTTCAAAACATCCAATAAAGGTTCTTCAACTTGTGTCTCATGATCTTGATATTGTGTTGATTCATTGATTTCTTGAACTTCATCAAGTTCTATTTCTCTGCTATGATTTCCTTCTAAAAGAAATTCCCTTTCCCAAAAGGTTGATCCTCTAGCCACAAACACTTTATAGGGTGATAGAAATAATATCCCATTGTTATTTTTGGGATACCCAATGAACCTACACTTATCAGATCTTGAGTCAAGTCTATTAGATTGCAGTCTCTTAACATAAGCTGGACAACCCCAAACTTTAATATGCTTAAGGTTAGGCTTATGTCCTTTCCATATTTCATATGGTGTTGTAGATACTGACTTAGTGGGAACTTTATTAAGTAATTATGTTGTCGCTTCCAAAGCATATCCCCATAAATATATTGGAAGATCAGTGAACTCCATCATAGATCTCACCATATCTAATAAGGTTCGATTTCTCCTTTCAGATACACCATTATGTTGTGGTGTTCCTGGAGGTATCCACTGTGAGAGAATCCTATTCTCTTTGAAATGCCTTGTAAAATCTTCACTAAGATATTCTCCACCTCTATCAGACCTTAGTACCTTGATACTTTTACCCGTCTGTTTTTTAACTTCACTATGAAATCTTTTAAACATTTCAAAAGATTTAGATTTGTGTTTCATAAGATACACAAATCCATATCTTGACATATCATCAGCGAAGGTGATGAAGTAAGAATATCCACCTCTAGCTTGAATTTTTATGGCCCCACAAATATCTGTATGAATTAGTCCCAATAATTCAGTAGGTCTTTCTCCACTTTCAGTAAATGGAAATTTGATCATTTTTTCTTTGAGATAAGATTCACAAGTTGGATATGATTCAAAATCATACTTGTCAAGGTACCCTTCCTTGTATAACTTGTTAATTCTTTTCTCTCCAATATGACCAAGCCTACAATGCCAAAGGTATGTATGATTTACTTGATCATCTCTTTTTCTCTTAAGACTTGAAACATGCATAATCGAATTAGCATTCACATTAGGTAAGACATAAACATCATGTTGGAGGTAGCTATTCACATATAAATTATCACCATAATAAATAGAGCAAATACCATTGCTTATAATAATGCGAAAACCACGTTTGTCTAACGTAGAAGCTAAAATTATGTTCGAAACAAATTTAGGAACGTAATAACAATCATCCAACATAAGTACTTTGCCCGTAGGCATTATTAAAGAAATTGATCCTATAGCTACGACCACAACTTTTGCATCATTTTCAACTTGTAGATTAATTTCTCCTTTCTTTAACCTTCTACTTATTTGGAACTCCTGCAATATATTGCAGATGTTATAACCACTGCCAGTATCTAATACCCACAATGAAGCATTAGTAGTAGTTAATGAAACTTTAAAAATATTTTTCATTTGAGTTTTACCTTGTTTCTTGTCATTTAGAGTTGCCAGATACTCCTGGCAGTTTTTCTTCCAATGTTCTATCTTCTTACAATGGAAAAATTCAGCATCAGATTGGTCAGCTTTGCCTCCTTTGCCTTTGGGTTTGGTCATACCACCCTTAGGCGCATTAGGCTTCTTCTTGGGTTTATTTTTACCCTTACACTTCTTTTTAGATGAGTTTCCAACCAACATGACAATTCCTTTCTTTTTCTCAGATGCAAGTTGATTCTCATAATCAATTAGCATGTTAAGTATCTCATGAAGATCACAATCCATTTTATGCATATTAAAATTAATAATAAATTGTGAAAATGATTCAGAGAGTGACTGCAAGTTCAAATCTTGAGAAAACTCTTTACCCAGTTTGCACCCCAACTTCTCAATTTCTTCAATAAGATCAATCATATGATTGACATAGGGTCCAACTGGAGAGTTTCCAGTCAATTTGGATCCAAATAAAGCCTTAGATAGTTGGTATCTAGCTGTCCTGCTTTGTGTACCAAACATCTTCTTAAGATGTTCAATAATTTCAGTTGGATCCATATCCTGATGTTTCCTCTGGAGCTCAGAACTCATAGAAGCGAGAATGATGCATTTAGTAGTAAGACATTCTTCCAAGTATTTCTGATAAATCTTGGTAGCATTATCATCATCCTCATCTGGGACTTCCTTGGCAGACTTATCAATTATATCAATAAGCTTTTCATGCATGAGAACAATTCTGAAATTTCTGTACCAATCATCAAAATTTGGTCCTACCAACTTGTTGGTCTCAAGTATTCCATGCATTGATATAACAAACATATTAAGAAATTTTAAATTAGAAAGAAAAGACAATATTATAAGAATATATTTACACATATTATAAAGACATGAACTTTTATCTAAATGATATTTTCACTAATTATTTTAAACTAGTTACCCTTATTATAGTTTAGGAAATCTTTATTTCTGTTAGTGGAGTAAAGGAATCCTTTAACAATATGTACGAGCCACTTGGAAGTCAAGTCGTTTCTCACATATATTTTAAAAGTAGGTACGGTTACTAATTGCATCCCCATACAATTTTCTTAAATAACTATATGTCAATTAGTCCCCTGGTAGTCAGGTCAATCCTATTGGCATAGTTGAGTTCAACCATCATGATAGCAAAGAACTTATTAAATTTTATACTCCCCGGGTGGTCCAGGCGTCTAGTGTAAAATTAAATAATTCTTTCAATCCATGCATCTAATGCAATAAATAATTTTAACATATTCTCAACCTATAAGTCTCCTGGTTGTCAGGCAGCTCCTTATAAACAAGAAGTAAATAAAATTATTTCTTTTGATGAATAGCTTTACAATAAAATATCTAATATTTTATTAGTAAGAACTCAAATTTTAACAAGAGGGAATTGTTACTAAAATAAATTTTAATAACAAGATGATCCAATCTTTTATAGAACATTAATTTTGTTCAAATTGTTTACATGCTTTGTCCTAAATTAATTTACATCACATGTAATAATAATTCAAAATCATATAACGAACAAGCACGTGACATAAAACTAAATTCAGCATACTTCTAACATGTTTATCTTATATATCACATAAAATAATTCATGCTAGAACATTATTATTAATTTATATCTCATAAACTAATAACAATTAAAATAATTGTATAATCTAATAACCTATTATAGACTACTGTCGTATCTTGTACGAAATTTCTAATTAAAGTTATGAACTATCTTAGTAGTTTAACTTATATGAATACATATTTTATTCACAATAAAATAATATCAATCCATATGCATTCAAACAATTTGACTATTGCACAAGACACATGTATTATGGTTTGAACTCTTCAAATATAATCTTAAAATATTTCGTAAATAAATTTTAGACGCGAGAAACCATGGCTCTGATACCACTGATGGATTGCGTAGAGATGTTCAAACATGCAGCGGAAGACAATAACAATCATAGGCAGAACTTTACGTGTTTAAAATTTATTTACATGTCAAAGATCGGATCTAAGACGTACCTGATGAAGAGAGCCTCGTTTCAGAGTTTTTTTCGATATTGCGAAGACTCTATGCGTATCCACACCCAGACTGATCCTTGCTATCAACTCTTTGATCAATGAAACCCGCGAGCAAATTGAACGAATTATTGTGCTAAAGTTCTTCCCAAAAACTTTAGCTCATATGTGAAAGACCAAGAAACTAATTTTTTTTTCCAGAGTATTTCTTGACTCTTTCAATATCTATTGATGTGGCAAACCTATTATATGTTGTAGTTCATTCTTTCCTCTTTCAATATCTATTGATGTGGCAAACCTATTATATGTTGTAGTTCATTTCTTTCCTCTTTTTTTTTTTGCCATATATATATATATATATATATATATATATATACTACGTTGAAAAAAGCTGCCTTAGTAATCCTTTTTCCAGTGCTTTGAGGAAAAGTTAGAGGCGGCCACTTTTTGTAAGTCTAATACCAAACGTAAATTTTTAATTGAAATTGAAATTCCATTAAGTTAAGGACAAAACTCACCAACCGTGAAGACCATTTCTATAATTGGAATTTTCCATAATATTCTAATGGAAAGATACAATTCTATTCTATATTGGTGGCTGCGGAGAATCATGAACTTTCCATGAAGTCCAATTCAAAACGTTGGAATTTTTCTATAGAAAACAAGAAAACAAGTTTGAGTTGTCAACGTCCTTTTATGGATTTTCACGTCACTTCTTCAATTCAAACTTGGATTCTAATTTAGAAATATTTTACTATTATAAAATTCAAATCTCATCTAATGAGTTGAATTTGCGGAACTCTTTAGGAATTCAATTCCTATTTGAATTTTACAATCAAGTCATTAATAATATTTATATAGATATCCCTTATATTAATAACTATTAATTATATATATCACATATATATTTTAACCAAGAGATATGATTTAAATTTCTATTCCAAATAGATAATTTTAACTTGTCCACAATATTAATTATATCCTCTGTATTAATAAAAAATATAATAATTTTTTATTTGGACTAATAACTAAATTTATTTGACTAATTAAATTCTTTAATTTAATTATCAAATAATAACGTAATTAATCCTTTAGCAAATGTAATGACCCAACCGGTTATTTTGACTTTTAGAACTCCGTTACCCTAAATAAAACTTTCCGAATATATTTTTAATAATTTACGACTTACGGGGGTGATTGGTTCAGAATTTGGAAGTGATTGGGTTGAAATCGGAATAATTGGTTCCTTAGTTTGGTTTTAAAAGGCCAAGTTTGACTTCGGTCAACATTTTGAGAAAACGACCCCGGAATCAGGATTTGACGGTTCCAATAGGTTCGTATGATGATTTCGGACTTGGATGTATGTTCGAATCGGGTTTTGAATAACCCGAGAGCGTTTTAGCGCTTAATAGTGAAAATTAACTATTTGAGGGTTTAAAGTTCTTTAAATTTGGTTTGGAATAGGTTTTGGAGTAATCGAGGTCCGTTTGAAATTCTGAGTCTCGGAATAGCTCCGTATAATGATTTAAGACTTGCACGCAAAATTTGGTGTCATTCCGAGTAGTATAAGTATATTTCGGCGCATTCAAAGTAAATTTGTAGAATTTGAAATTTCTAAGTTGAATCAATTTGGTTTGGAGTATGATTCTTAGATTTGATATTGTTTTACATGTTCCGAGAGTTTGAGCTAGTCCGTTTTATGATTTCAAACCTGTTGGTATATTCGGGCGGGGCCCCGGGGGCCCCGAGTGTTAACCAGACGAGGCTCAGATCAATTTTGGAATTTTGAAGAAGAGCCGAAGCCTTCTGCTTCTGGTACGTTCGCACCTGCGCTTGGACAGCCGCAGGTGCGACCCTCGCAGATGCGAGTTCTTGTACGCAGAAGCGAAAAAGGGAAGGGACAATCGACCGCAGATGCGAATATTTTTGCGCACCTGCAAACGCGCCTGTGCGAGGCAACGCGCACAGATGCGAGAGAGGGGCAGTCAAGAGAAACTCGCACCTGCTAGGCTTTTTCGCAGATGCGAAAGCCACAGGTGCGGTACACCTTCGCAAGTGCGAAACCCCTGCTTGGCAGAATGTGTTAAAATCGGGGCTCAATCATTTTGAGCCCATTTTTTTTCATTCTTGGGCGATTTTGGAGCTTTTTGAGAGGGGATTTCAACTGGCAATTTGAAGGTAAGTTAATTCTACACCCCTTGAGTTAAATACATAGATTATGGGTAGATTATAACTGGTAAATCTTAAAAATTAAAGGTTTAGATGAAAAACCTAGATTCTTATAAAAACGAGATTTTAACCACGAAAATGGTTATGGAATTGGATAGAAACTATATATTTGAGTTCTTGAGATTATGGGCACGGGGTGAATTTTAGAAATTTTACCATTTTGGGTTGGATAATTAATTCAATAGAATAAATTCGAATTAATGAACATATATTAATTATTTTATATAACTTTTGGATAGTTTCGGATTTTTCGGCATCAAATTGAGGTTTTTACGTGACATTTTGATCGAAAAGTGGACTTCGAGACAAGGTAAGTCTCTTGTCTAATCTTGTGAGGGGAAAATTATCCCATAGGTGATTAAATTAATAATTGTTGCTAATTGTGGGGGTTACGTACACACGAGGTGACGAGAGTCCATACGTAGCTACTATCTATGCTAAAAGTACGGGTAGTTTAGGACTCAAAGCATGAATTATGTGTATAAATTGTATCCTTTATTTAATTAAATTATTTGAAATATATTTTGAATTGTTAGGGATAGATAGTAAAAGATGAAAATCTGATATACTTAATTTTCTGCTTAAATTAATTAATTGTTAAAAGAATTGTTCATCCTCTCGAATTTACCTATAATAAATATACTCTCCTTTCGGAGGTATATAAGAAAATGTCCTCCTTTCTTGTAGTGCGGGCCGAACGCCTCGACAGTATAGATGCATCTATGGATCGTGCCGCACGTCCCTCGACAGTGTACACGACACTCTGGAACGGGCCGTACGACCTCGACAGAAATCATGCCTAATAATAATAATAATTACACGATACCTCGATATTTTAATTGCATCTTGTGAATTTAATTAATAGATTGGAAATTGTTGCATTTGAAAGAATTTAATTATTTTTGCTGGTTAAATAGTTACTATTAACTTTGTGAATCATGTTGATTTAAATATTCCTATTTTTATTTTATTTATTATTGTTGACCTTAGCGAGTGTCAAAGTCGACCATCTCGTCTCTACCTCTTCGAGATTAGGCTTGATACTTACTGGGTACACGCTGTTTACGTACTCATGCTACACTTGCTGCACTTTTTGTGCAGGACCTGAGATAGGTGCTATAGTTGGACCTATCGGCGCGCACCCACGATATCCAGAGGCTTATTGGTGAGCTGCCCTTCTGAGTCATTCTGCAGCAACCAAAGCCTCTTCCTGGAGACTTTATTCTGTCTATTTTATTTCAGACAGTACTTGAAATTTTTGTATAATCTACTAGATGCTCATACATTTGTGACACCAGGTCTTGGCACACACACTGGTAGAATTTGGATTTGTATTATTTTCTTGGATTTAAATTAATTAGTATCTTTTCTATTTTCATTAATTATTGCTAGGAAAAGAATAAAATTACTAAGAAAATTATTAAAGAATGATTGATATATGTTTAATTTATTAGTTGGCTTGCCTAGCTGTAGTGTTGGGCGCCATCACGACCTTTAGATGAAATTGGGTCGTGACAGCAAAGATCAGAACACTCGTTAGTGTGCGACCTCATAGGTTCAATACTAAGCCGGTAGTAAATTGATCACATCAATATACTAATCAAGGGTGGCGTCTAGC